CCAGCCGGCGAGGGTCGACAGAATGCCGTTTCTACGGGGGCCGTCTTGGACAGAAGATATTGATCCTCGTGCCATGTGCTCTTCCACCCTGTCCGGTCGCGGCGACGGCTTGTTCTCCAAAGTCCGTTGCTGCGATTCACTCTCGGCTGCCGTCCTCGTCTCCAATTGGTTATTCGAAGCACGCGGTAATGCAGGTTCGCTTACCAATGCGGTAGCTGATGTCCGAGGCGTTGCCTCTGGCGTGCCGGTCAGTCTCGAGCTATCTATCAAAGCTAATGACGTCGATCGCCGTCTCGCTGGCGTCCTCGGTTGCTGTTCACCATCCTGTGAATTGGAAGGGTCCCGTTCACTGCGTGAAGATGTCGTCGGAGTCGGAGACGACTGTCCTGAACCCTTTCTGGCTGTCCGTCCACGAACCTCGTTGGCAAGGTCCGAGGCCGACCTCTTCTTTGACCCCTCCTCGTCGGATGAACGGCTTGACGACATTATGGTTTCCAGTGTTCCCATTGCTCTGCTGTTCCTCCTTGCGGCTTGCCTTCTCCGTCGAGTTGTATTTCTCATATCGCGCTCATCGTCTGATGATACCGCCTGCAATGTGGGACCCTGCGGCTCTTGATTCTGAGCGGATGCGAGGAACGACACTCCAGACCCGTGAGGAGCATAGTGAACCTCGTACTGATTGCTTAGTGAGTACCGTGACCGGGCACAAATCTCGGCTATCCTGTCCAGGTCGGAGTTAATATCGGCTGTGCCAGCATGTGTTGGCATATTTGCCATGAAGCTCTTGAAGCTAAAGGCTTCTACCGGAGGCAGTCGAGTATCCTGTTGAGCCTCCACCGTTGGCATTTTCCCATTATACACTCTCGCCATGGTGCTCAGCATTCCTTTTCCGGCTGAAGAGACCCTGCCTGAGAATGGGAGAGCCCGGGTCACACCGGCTACTGGCCCACCAACTTCGGAACCGGCCCCACCACGACCAGGTCGGCGTCGAGTGGAACTATCGTGACGGCTTGGTGCAGGAGAGTAGTAACTGCGAACAATGACGGGTTCGGAATAGGTGCTGGATTGAGCACCAGTTGATTTCGCGTATCGATGTCGGCTAGGATAGTGGCTATTGAGCTCCCGCAACGCTGATGTCCGATGTTCGGCAGTGGTGTCATCCACGGGGATGGCTCTTCCCTCGGCTGTTGACGGTGCCACACTAGTTGATGTAGGGTTTGGCCGAAACGGCCTTGTCATGGAGAAGGGGAAAGGATCTCGTCGAGTGTCGCTGGTTCGACGCGTGGACGGGCCCGTCGAGGACGGCGGTAGCGGTGGTGGGCGTGAATGAAGATGTTGAGCTCCAGGGGGGGACGCAGAACTGGCAGTTGAAGACATGGTGGACGTCGGAATTGCAACGATATAAGTCGGCTTCGGACTCGTGGACACTTGCTTGCGTCCTCTGCCACGGCATTGGTCGTCTCAGCGGCACAGTCGAGGAAGCTGTAAAACGGGGCAGAGACAAGAGTGAATAGAGGTGCGATTGGCCTCGACTGGTTTCGTCTGGAACACTTGTTCCTACAGCGCTAGGATGATTGAGTCTGGTCAGGCCGGGACAGGTGTGGTGAGAACATGGCCCAGCGTCGATGTCCTGCCACGTCCGTCCACGTCCGTCCACGTCTGTCCGTCGGCTGGGGCCGAGCCAGTCACAATCGGAGCCTCTGTGCGCTGACAGTCGTGGGTTGCTTTTCGTTCGTCCTGCTTCGCCGCACAATGTGTTGGCTGTATGCAGGCGTGCCGACGTCGATTTTGAATGTTGGATGTTAATTTGACTGAGCGTCTTGAATTCCCCCACCGCACGTCGTTGTTGTCGGGGAAAAGGCGGGGTTGACTCGACTCGACTTGGTTTGCATCAATGAAGACCGAGTGGGCGGTCGAGAGACATGAGACACGCAGTGCGAACCCGAGCAAGACGTTGGCTGAGAGATGGCGAGGACGGAATATTACAGAGTATGTGAGAGACGAGATGCAACAATACGAGGCGAGAGAATGAGAAGTCAGAAAATTAAGGCGTGCAGTGTGCACCCGTAGCCCCAGTGCTCAAGCGCTTGGGCGGTGCAGCACCGGGAAGTGACAGCGCAAGATTGACGGGAGATGTTGTCTGGTTCAATTTGCAATTCCGTCGCAGCGGCACTGCGTCGAGACGTGCCGCTGTCGAATGATGCTTCGCCTTGCTTTGCACTACTGATGCATCATGTGTCGTGGCCAACGTTCAAAGGCCGGCTGGCGTAAGGTCTTTGCGCCCAGACCAAGTCCGTCTCCCGTGTCTCCCCATCCTTCCCCATTTTTCCCCATTTCTCAAATGCTGTCAATGCGTCTTCCGTCGCGCCACGCTCTTCCCCCCCATCCATATCATCGCCTTGACACCGGACCATCGCCTCGTCACCAACAGTCCAGCGAGCAAAATCCCTGCTGCTTCGTCCTTGCATCTCCCGCAGTCTGCAGCCAAACCCATGGCGCCGGCCACCGTCGCGTCGACGTGGACAAATTGATCTTGACCGTCGCCGATGACTGGACAATGGCACTCTGAACAAGTGTCCGAGAGGGGTTTGATCAAGTGCCTCGCGTCTCATGTTTCACCTTGTGATACGTCAATGTTGATTCCAATCACTGCGGATTCAGAGATGGACATGGATGTGGAGGCTGGTGACTTCCAGAATGGCCTTTTGTCGCTGTGCATAGAGGTATCGACTGGTGACCCTGGCATTGCCGCGTTAGACCCTGCATCAAGGGCGATCAAGTCACACAAATGGGCCATCATGACGATCAGTAAGTAGCGGCCGAGTGAAACTATTAAGGATAAGTATATAAGCAGCTTGAGCATCCCCTACATAACGCATACTCGACTATACGACGGCGTGTCTACAATAGCGCTTCTTGCATGCCTACTGTCGGCTGTTATCAAAACTGCGTATGTGTTGAGAGCCTGCTAATTGTCAACACGGGTTTAATTCCCGTAGGAACTTCTATCAAGACTGAAACCTTGCTACCATCATCTTCTCCATGTCGGCTTTCCCAAAATTTAAGCAGTCAATGCTGTTCGGAGACGAGCAGCATACACCACAAGCCCTGTAACCTCCCGGTTTGCCCTTGTTACCTCAAACTAAGAGTCAGTGTCATGTGTATTCCAAAGAGACACCAGACATAACTTTGGAGATCCTCGTCTGGAGTTCCTGGGGTTAAAATCGTTCAAGGCAGTCAACCCACAACCCCACGCAAGGATACAAGAGACACATATCAATGGGCGCTTCGGGCCGTGTGTCCCATCGGTAGCAAGCTATGAAACGAAAAGTGCAATATGAAGCGCTGGTAAACACACTGTACAGCTTTGGCTTTCGGGTCACATGTTTTGTACCGAAACTTGGTACATGTAGTATTAGACGCAGACAACGTAGGTCATATATTAACTAGATTATTGTTTCGCTCTTAAGTCAAATGATATTACAAACATGATACGAGTATCGTGCAAGCGTAATATCTGATAACACAGTATTGGGCTGTACTAAGTCAAGAACAGTAAGAGACCAGAGAAATAGACCTTCTGCGCATCGTGGTAGGTCATATATAGCGGACTTAAAGTCAACAAATGCAATTATGCACCCGATGAATGAATCATTATTCTTTGCGTTGTGCTCAATCCTTCATTCAAATGTCACTCTAAAATACAGTATAGTAATAAGGGACTGCCTGATTCGGTATTATGAGCTTTGATTTACCTGTTCCGGGGCAACTTCCCACTGCTTCAGGTTCGATATCAAATGACAACATGTGGGTAGCATTTCTTGTCCGGTTCGCAGGTACAATGAAAGTTTGGACACAATGTAACCATATAAGATTGACATGGTTGTGGGGGTTCACTTTAACTCGGGTTTCATTGTATCTGCTAAAGGCCATGTGTACACAGGACGGGAGTAGAGAATGTCAGAGCCAAATGAAATGGCTGCAAGTCCCAGACTCTGAGATGAAGCGCCTCGATCAGACGTTCTCGCAAAATTAACAACGTACACAGCAACACAGGCATATATCGTAGTATCGCCTGCCAAGACGCCCACCTTTACTCTTCTCCTAGTAGGTTAAACATCACTCAGACCAGTTCTTCTACCTGGTGCTAACACACGACACAGGCACGGGCAAATCCAGCGCTAGACCTCCTTGGATCTCCTATTCCAAGATATTCAATAAAAAATAGTTTGACCAGTACTGCCCAGCATGTCTGCCATCAAGTCTCAGGTGAACCCCAACTTTCGAGAGGACTATCTCCAGTGTCGAGTCCTTGCCTCAAATAGGATTGAAGTTGCTGCACGCAATACGTGGAGAAGCACCAACTGCAAGCTCACCAGCAATTGGAAAGACGAATATGAAGAAGATAGTTGCCCAAGACGGGGTCAACTGTGTGTGGAGAGTATCGTCCCAGCCTGTTCATTGACCTGAGCCCAGCACCCACGGGTAGGTGAGGGCTCGGGAAATTGGAATGGAATTGTCCGACAGGATACCAGCAAGTTGTCAGGGTCAACAACACAACATGGGGGTATTGAAACGTTGGGCCCTCAAGATTTGAGCTAGCAGTTGTTAGGGAGGTGCTTCTTCATGGCTAAGCCCTACCGAGCAGAGTTGACAAACAAGAATGTCGCGCAAAACTCCGTCCTGCAAGGAAGCGGCTGGCGTCAACAATAAGTATCTCAAGCATGAAAAGCCATGTGGCATAGGTAAGACGTTACAGTACTGAAGCAGCCGAAAAATCCCCATGCCTCCCGCGTTTCCGTCCTTTATGTCTGACGTTTATCCGAGGTGAAGGACGCAAATAACATATATTAGGGCCAAATAAACAGAGTCCAGTGCCAATATCCTAGACATCTTTCACACGAACTGCCTACACAAAAAGTCGAACCGAACCAGGCTATCCCTGCTACCAAACTCCCGACTATCCGCAAAATCCAGGCATACCTTCAAGGCAATCGGTACTAGCGTGTAGGCTGGACAATAGTTCCATAACCCTGTCCTCCAGTCTGCACGTTGTCAGAGTACACGCCTGGCGCGCGGCTGGTAGGGAATCGTCCCTGATGGGCCTGTTCGCGGCGGTCGTAATAGATGTATTCGAGGTAGAACGCATGTATATGACCCGGAAAGTATCCCAGAATTGTCAAGCAAACGTTGATAAACAAATCTACAACATGTCAGCCAGACTCTGGATGGACCACTTCTGGAATCAGTCCATGGAAATGGAACTTACCCATGCCACATCCTGCCACTGCCCACACACCCAGCGGAGGGACTATATACAACTGTCAGCATCATTGTCATTTTGTTGGAGGTTTTGAAGGCGACTCACATAGAATGGTGATGAGAACAATGAGAATAGCAGATGCGACACCCATATTTGCGATTGGGAACGGTACCCGAAGTGAAGTAAGCTATTGAAACGATGCAAAGGCGGGGTAAGAGATTCCAAAATGAGGCAGCTTCGGATTCCCGTCTCTGGTCAACGAATGTCAAAGTGTGTTGAAGTGTGTCGAAGCGAAGATGTAATATGGGTACAGGTATCAGAGGATTCAAGAGCGATGATTAAGGCGTTCAGAAGACGTCGTCAACAAATTGCGGGTGGCGTAAGGTGATGGATGGCTGGGGTGACGAAACGATTCATGCACAAGTGGAATGTTTGGCCGCTCTTTGTCAGGCAAGTCACGGTCAGTGAATTTCTGTGATGGGCAGAATGCGACCATGACGTAACATGCACGTGTGTGGTTAATGGAAATGGAAAAGCTCTGTGCAACTTGGAAGGAGCCAACCAACAGCCTGCCAACATTGTATGATGATACGCAGCCAACCCGGTTTCAATTCAACCCAAGAAACGTTGCTCCAAAAACTACCTGCCTAGTACCTAGGGGGTAGGTAATAAAGGGAGAAGCAATTACATGAATAAACACCGGCACTACCTACTTAGGTAGGTCAGCAATCGACGCGCGCCGCCCAGACTCCGCCTGCCGGCTTGCAGCTCATAACTTTCCTTTCTGTGGCATTTTGTCTGGAGTAAACGCCACCTGAATGTTCTGCATTTACCGTAAATCCGACCGTTCGATTGCCGCCATGATTTCCTAAAAATAGCCTGAACCATATGTACGCCGTACCGTGGCAGCGTGGTTGGTTGTACGCAGCAGATGTGCGACCTTGACGGTTGAAGTGAAGTTGGTGGTTACCCTGGGACGGCGTAGGAACGAACTCGCGGGTAGCGGCTGCCCTCCCGACAATGCTGTCAGCCGTGGAGGAGAAAACAGGACTCTAAATTCTGCTTATCTGGAGTCCGTATTCGTAGCCTTGCTCCTGCTTCATGCACGCGGAACGTTATACTGTGTCGCCAATTCGCGGGGGTTTTTTGGCGACCAGGTAGCCAAAGACGCCACTGGTGGCCATAGCACAAGCAAACCGTCTCGTTGTGGAACATGCCGACTGATCAGGACTACAACATTGCCATTCCGCCGTCAGGCATTTATCACCTCTGATCCGATTCTCCTCGCGCGGGCGCTTCTGGCTCCTGTGGCTTCGGGACAGCCCGGAGTCATCAGGGGCTGCGAGTGGTACAGAACATACTCCCTCGTTCTTGATACGGGGAGATAACTTGCCTTTGTTCATCTCCAACATGTGCGTCTTTCCCCTGCATCCTGGCTCATGGTCCCTGGCTGCGACTTCGCTGCTGGTGCATTTCGACCTCGAATTCGGCAAAGGGTACATGCATATAGTATGTACAAGTCTAGGAACGGTCTCTTGCAAGATGTATCCATTAACTTTTGCCGTGTGCACTCCAGTCACCAGGTGCTTTGCCTAGTCCGACACGTCTTGCTTTTCCCACCCATGTAAGCATGCGGTGTGGACGGGCTGACTGACCCGCGAGGTCTGGGTTTGTGCGATTCGTCATCCCGAAACATTCATACGGAGCAAGGAGGGGCGAGTAAATGGATGTCGCCAGCGCCAGTGTCATTGATACCCTCAGGCATCGAAGACCAGCCAACAAACACAGAAACCAGTTATTAGTATCAAAAAGGCTAGATCCAGGCCTCCAAAGCCCCTAGTCTGGAAGGCCGAGGCCACCGATTACTGAAACGGTTGCGTCGATATCAACAGCTGAATGTGCCAGCGTGCTGCCAATAAGTGCTATTGGACCTCAGCATGTGCCATGATGCAAGAATTGATGATGGTAGGCCGCAAGCATGTTGCTTTGACTGGTAGTTATTGCGCGCGTTGCATGGCATCCAGCATGTCCCAGCCTCCGAGCCTCTTGGCAGCGTTGAGTCCTGTCTTCGTATGGTCAGGTCACAGGTGTTGGAATATGTGCTGATAACGAACAAGAGGCACTGTTACGTACCGTGCCAGCGCTCGGGACCAACCTGCGCTTGATCATCTTCCCGACGTCAAGGTTTTGACGTGGCGCCATGGCGCTGTTAACGTGATCCCTTCGTCAGGTACCAGAAGGAAGCATCCCACTCCTTTCCCGGCTTAGCGGGACGAGGAATGCACTGCACATTGTCAAGGATCGCCCCGGCGCACGATAACTGTGAGGAGACGCAGTCCGGAGTAGGTGGCCGGGCAACTGGGGCATTTCGAGCTTTTTGGAACTGCTACATTGTGTGGAGGACAAGAGAACGAGACTGATCATATGGAGTGCAACTTTTCGAGTCATCTCTTCCCAGCACATATTTGGCTGCTGTACCTCGTACGGAGTCACGATGAGGCTAGATGGCGAGCCAAGTTGTTATTGTAGACACTGGGGACTGGGGAGGATCCTTGGGCCCGGTGTCTTCACATCCGACCTCCTCCGTAGAATCGCGCATGATCAAGAATGTACAGGGTACACCTGCAACATTACCATGTCAGTAAAGCAGTCAGTCGGTTGGCTGTGCTAGGTAGCCAAGTGGCTCAGCCCTCTCATTGATCTCCCCGTTGGAGTCTAAACTGACAGAATTACTAGCAGCGAAAGCGCAACTCCTGCAACAAGCATTGTAGTGTAGGACTGACAAACCATTTGCCATGGTCCCTGACTCCTGTGCCTCCCCGACAGTGGATCCTGCGAGAAGAGCAAGTGGACACATTGTACGGAGTACTCCAGTTTTCAAGACAGCGGCAACCTATCCACTTGATGGTTTTTATAGCGCAGACTCTGCATGTACGTTGCCCGAGTGCCTGAGCTAGGTAGGCACTTGCTTGTACAGAGCGTTTACTCCCGCGTGTTGTGAGACTTTCCGATTCTTCAATGTACCCGGGTTGGGTTCTTTGTCGCCGTCTTGCTGTTGAGCCCACCAGTGGAGTTGGTTCTGCTGCCACAGGTTACCAGGAAGTGTAGAGCATCAGGGCTGCCTGTGAAGTCCATGTCGGCGTAATAACCCCCCTGCTTGTCCAGATTGTCCGTCAAATCAAAGATGTCTGGTTGACCAACTCTAAGCAACTGTTGATCCCAGCACCAAGCAGCCAGCGCCCAGTGTCCTATTCCTCGGCCGGCAGACAGGTGTTGGTTGCTGGTACTTCCTCATCTTGCCTGGGCTCTTAAGGATAACACTGCCCCAGCCAGTGTCTGGTCTCGAATGCTCTCCACGTTGGCCAAGCCAGCCAGCTGGACCCTTTCCATCAATCCCTCGTCTTCGTCCTTTTCTGCAGACTCGTTGGTTCCCTGCTATCTGGTCTGGCTCGAAGGGTATGTTTCGTCCTTGATTGGGAGCGGCCAACCCTTCGACTGTGTGCTTAGATTTTGTGATTTGGTGTTCATATTTATTTTTCATGACCAAGCCTGGGCACCCCTCCGTGCCCTGCAACCGCCAACTGCCAGCTGCCAGCTGCTGACGTTAAACCAGACTGCCAACTGCCCAGCAACCCTCCTAAAATCCACAGTCCACCGCCCACAACCCGCAGTCCTTGTCGGCCCGTGCGATTCTCCAGCTCCGTCCGACCTGCGGCTCTTTTTGCTCGGCAAAACCTCCTGAAGCTTTCAGTTGTCTCTCGTCACCCCCAACTCTCCTCAATCCCGCAACCGTCAGACCTTGGAGAACCGGCTGGGTCACAGGCTGCATCTCCGTCCTTTCTCTATTCTCCTCGACTCGACCTTCTTTGTGAAAGTCGACAAGCGAGCAGACTGCTTCGACGCTGCCGCCTACGCCAACCCATCCCCTGTGTTGCTCGCTGAGCCCGGACGCTCCGCCGGCCACTATGTCTTCCCAGCAGGTTCCTCAACTTAACGTTGATCGCTATGTCGTGATCCATGTTGCAACTACCTGTGATGAGCACGGTGTCTACGTGACAAAAGACTCTGCTGAAGTCATTGAGCTTGGATGGATTCTTCTTGATGCCAACTCGCTCGAGGAGGTAAGATGTTCCCCACCAATTCCCAGAAGCCACGGCATCATGGTCCTATTCTTGCTGTTCGACCGTCTTCACCAACCTTAGGAAGCCATTGCTAACATCTTTCTCTTGCTGCATTGACAGATCACTCACGAAAGTGTTCTTGTCAAACCTGTTAATACCCCAATCACCCCTCTTTGCAGTACGTAAACCAACCTGGTGGTCAATTTCTTTCCCAACCCAAACAGGAGAACTTTTACTTGTCCCTGGTCGCCGCAAACAGTGTCCTCATCCATAAATATCCCCGTCCCCTCTAACAATTTATTTATATGAGTGTTGGCTTTCAGGAAAAGTCATTCGGCTAACGAGACCTGTCGTGTAGCGAGTCTCACGACTCTTACTTGGGAACATGTTCGAAATGCGGGTACCTTTAGAGACGCTATCTCTCGATTCGATACATTTGCGACAGACTACTTGACTTCCAAGAACCTCGATTTTGTTTTTGTCACCCTGGATGCCTGGGATCTTCGTGTCCAACTTCCCCGGGAGGCCCGCGACAAGGCTGTTGTTCTACCTCCCTATCTACAGCACTCGCGCACATTCGACCTTCGAACGGAATATCAGCGATGGCAGCAACATCACCCAGAGTCCCTGCCCTTCGGACCCTCAATGCTGTCCAATATTTGCGCTGCCCTCGAGGTTGACCCTGTCCAATCCAGTGCCCCGATCAAGCACAATCTTCCATTCCACTTGCAAGCCCTGGCTCCTGCTTCTCCCCGCCGTGCCATGGAAGAGGCCATCACACTGGCCCGCGTTCTCCGTGGCTTGATCCGCAAGTCTCAGCCTCCCCAGGATCATCCGGATGTCTTGACCAGACCTATGGATGCTAGAGCCGATGTCCGAGCTTTCCTTTCTGAGAGAAGCAAGGTCCTTCATATGTCCGGCCTTCCGCACGACACCACGCAGTCGGAACTTGAGAGCTGGTTCACTCAGTTTGGTGGTCGACCTATCGCATTCTGGACTCTGCGTACTCCTGAACAGCATAAGCCCACCG